GGTACACATATTTTAGTTCTTAAACATAAAGCACACAGATACATGCATTCCACATAGCTGCTGCTAACCAGAAGTCTTTACATATGCAAGTATGTACCCACCACGGAATACAAATGTGGATAAGCATCAAAATATAAAGTCAGATTTACAACCTTGAATTAAGAAACAGGAAACAAAGCAGGGTGAGAAATACTGAGAGCTCTGTTTCCTGAGCTATTCTGAAATATTAAGAGTACAGACAGTGTTATGGTAGCATTCACATTCAGAATGCAGTTCTGCATCCAAGCATATAATCATATTTAACCCATCAGCCTAATTTTCAAACAGACTTGGCCATTCTTTAGGAGCACACATTTCCTTTATTAATAAAAGGTTTGGGACTTCAAAAGGTAATTCAATCAATATGCATTTTTATTAGCCTACAATCCTTTTTTTGCCTTGTTGCTTTATCTTTGTTGTTGTTGTTGTTGTTGTTGTTGTACAACAAGTAATAAATACTTGCACTACTTTCTTGAATTATTTAATTATTCAATTTATTTTTTCATTCTACATTTGAAACTCAGGGCTGAAGGCTTTAAAAAAAGACGACCTATCACTACCAACAAGAGGCACTCAATAAAAGTAACTGCTACACAGAACTATGTTTTGTTTTGAAATGGAGGTGATGGAGATACTGTGGACATCTCAAGACAAATTACTGCGGGACTGAAACATTGCGCAGAAAGAGTTAAGATGGTATTCTCAGTGCTATCAGTGTTCCTCACACTGGCTGACTTATTGCTGTCAAAACACAACACAGTATTCAGCCACATTTTTTGTAAACGTGTCACAACTGATACATAAGTAAATTCATACTGAATTGAACCTACCTTATAAGAGATTATACAACAGCACCCATTAAGTAGCATTTCTTTCCACTCTGCTGAACAATGTACAAAAAGCAAGAGCATTCCTTTTAAACTACCTACCATATTATATTGAACTTTAAAAAGAGTCAACCCAACAAGCTCCTCAGTATTAACAGTGTACGACAAGGAGATACTTTTCAAAAAAAACTGAGAGAACAGCACTGAAATACATTATATTAGCCTAGGATTCCTGAAAAACAAAAATCTTTTATTTCTTAGGAGAACAAGCATGGTACAAGGAGTGGCAGAGCAACTAGGTATGTTTTCTTTCAGTTATACTTAATACTCAGATGTACAGAATCATTTCCTCGAACGAGATAGTTTGCATTAAAATAACTTGGAAAGAAGCTTTTACATTAATCTGAGAGATTTCTATTGTGAACACAATTTAAAACGGAATGGGCTAAACTAGAATTGCACTGAATAACTGCTGAATAACTGTTAAGAATGAATTTAAAACTGAGAAGCATCATGGTTTAGTAATCCCATGAACTATCAACTTCCTAATCAACAATCCTAACCAACAGCTATAAGAATTCTCCTAGCCCAATTCCCTTTAATTATATGGAATAGGACATCCACTAACAGAATCTGGCACAAATAAGCTGAATTTTTAAAAGCTCTCATTTTTTTCCTCTCCTGAAAAGGCCAAAAGCCAACATGCTACCTGTTTCAAAATTCAGCAGATGGCTGTCAGTCAGGTACTGGTAAATCCATACCAGCTAGCACAGTATAGAACTTGCTCATTTGCTCAGTTTTAGTTAGAGCCTAGCTCTTGGGCAAGTTCTTTTCCCTGGTTTTAACAGACATTTACTCTACCAAGCAAATACAGAGAAGCTAATTAAAATTATGAAAACCTGTCTATTTCTCTTATTCCAAAACCTGAAATAAACTTGCATTTGTTTTTCACTACAAGCCTCACAATTTGCATCCTCCATCCCAGTGTGCTTCAGGAAACACAGAAAAAGCAGACATCAGGTTTGGCCTCAGCAGCAATCAAAAAACTTGTCTGGGAACATCAGGCTCTCTGTAGTGCCAAGGCAGTAGACAGCAGCCAAGAAGTGCCTACAGCACACCAAGTCTGCTAAATCCAGGTCCCATGGCTCAGCTGGTGGCACAATTGGCAGGGACCGTGCTTGCTTTGCCATGTGGTCAAGGGCTCCCATCACACTGACAGAAGTGCTGCTCAGGGAAGGAAAAATGAGACTTGACACGTATGGAAACCAGGGCTTGAGGGCACTGAGGTAGGAGGAGGGAAGAAACAGGCCAGGCATCCCAGACAAGCTGTTTTAATGGAAGCCTGGGAGAACTACCAGATGCAGAAACTGGCTCAAGAAGTTCCAGTTGGTGTTTTGAGATTCACAGAAATGAAGCTGAAATTCTGATAGGAAGCACACAGGTAGAGAAGATGGCTAGGCATGGCTTTCAAGTCAGGAAAAAAGGAGACCCTGTTGCTACTTTTAGGAGAACTATTCACAACTTCACCTCTGAATCTTTCCCAGAGCACCACATGTAGATTTGTCTTCCTAAAGCACTTGCAACTAGCTGCCTAGCAGGCTGGCTTTTGCTGGCCACTCTCAATAGCAAAAGGTTTTATCATATTAAGTTGTTGGTTGTTCAAATGGCAAATCCTTTTTCCACTATTGCATAAAATTTAAAAATACACAGTAAACAATGTGACAATAGTAATTTTCATTTCCTAAAGCTGAGTAAAGTAAGCGGTGATTCTGTAGATGGACTAACCAAAAGTTACTTTTCTCTTAGCCTTCAACTTATCAGGTGCACTTGGAAGTCTATAAAAGACATTTTTATCAAAAGCATATAAAATAGGCTTAAAAACCAATCCATAAATATCTAATGGATTTAAAGCTTTTGTGTTGAAAGGCAGAATTCATGCTGTTCCCTCGCAGGGGCATTTTCCAGTACTCACATTCAGGTTTTCAAAGTACAGATCCACAGAGACTTTCTGAGGTTTCAGGGAGTTCTCCAGGAATACAGCAACAGTCAGCAGGTCAGGCTGATGGTTGGACTTTATGATCTTGAAGGTGTTTTCCAACCCAGATAATTCCACAATTCTACACATCATTGCTCATCAGCAAATACTTCACTTAATCATACTTTCATAAACATAAATTCCTCTTTCAAGAGTCCAGTTTAAAAAAAATACCTTTTGAAATTGAGTCATGGGGAAAAGTATATGCTTGGTTCTAACAGCTGACCTAAATTCTTGAGTGAGTTCATGTAGAGTTACAGAAATGATGTTTTAGCTGTGAGAACACTCCCATTCTTTAAATCTCAAGCAGCATGTTTACTGACAACTATATCACCACGTTTACCACATCAGCGATTTCAACTTCTTAATTCTGTCACAAACATTACATTAAAAACAGCCTTCATCAAATTGTTTCATACACTGGAGCTAAATTTTGCAACCAGAATTTCTGCCAATCTGATACGGGGGAAAAATAATAACCAACACTTCTACTTGTACGGTCTTGTTCTTCAATTCTCTAGAAACAAGAACAGCTGTATCTAATACCTACTAGCATTCTTGACAGCATTAGGCAAAGTACTGCCAGGAGGCCAAGAGAAGTGATCCTTTCCCTCCAGAGAGGCTGCACCTGGAGCACTGTGTCCAGTTCTGGACCCTCCATTAGAAGAGAGATCTGGACATAACAGAGACAGTCCAGTGGAGGGCTGGCAGGATGCTGAAAGGACTGGAGGACTTCTCCTACGATGACAGGCTGAGAGAGCTGGGTCTGCTCAGCCTGGAAGAGGCTCAGAGGGACCTCATCAACATCTATAAATACCTGAAGGGAGGATGCGAAGCGGACGAAACCGGGCTCTTTTCAGTGATGCCCAATGTCAGGACAAAGGGCCATGTACACTAGCTAGAGCATAGGAGCTTCTGTCTGAACACCAGGAAGAACTTCTGTGCTGGTGACAGGGCACTGGCCCAGGCTGCCTGGAGAGGCTGTGGGGTCTCCTCCTTAGAGATCTTCAAAGGCCACCTGGATGTGGGCCTGGGCACCCTGCTGTGGGTGTCACTGCTTGAGCAGAGGTTGGACCAGATGGACCCTTCACACCTCAGCCATGCTGTAATTCTCTAATGCTTGCTTTACAACACATTCCTTTGAGCATTTTAAATCAGAACATTTCTATACAGAATTGACAAAAAGATACAAGTTGTCACAACTGACAAGTCATCTATTGGAATTAAACTATTTCAAAGAACTATTCATTCTTTTATTGAGTAAGATCTACATACCATTAAAAACTAAGTCAAACTACTACCCATAAATAAAAGTCAGTTTATACCTTTTCATATGTCTTTTTTTAACAGTTAAACATTTTTAAACCTTTCTGTAGAAGTCAAAATTGAGAACAAGGAACTAAAAATTTAACTGGCTTCCACTACTAGTTTTGATTAGAGCCCTGGAATCTCTTTATTACAGACAGCACCAGAATTAATTTCATGTTTCTCCCTGGTTTTGTTTCAGCTGGGTGGAATTATATTCTTCAGAGTATCTGGTATGATATTATGGCTCTGTTGTAGGAGAAAAATACTGTTGATAACACAGCAATGTTTATATAGCTGCCGCTAAGCAGTGTTATACAGAGCCAAGGCCATTAACAGCGAAGGTCCTAAGGAGCTGGGAGCAAAGAGAATAAGGACAGCTAACTTAAACTTGCCAAAGAGATATTCCATAACACATGCAGAAGGAGTTTTAAAGGGGATGGAAGTTCATTGCTCTCTTCCGCAGTTTGAGGGACTAGCTGGGCACTGCTTGGTGGGTAGTGAGCTCATGCATCACTTCTTACATACATTCATATATATACAGACATAACTATTATGCTTTTCATTTTCACTTAGTAAATAATTTTATCTCATCCTCTGAGTTCTACTTTTTATTTTTTTTCCCAGTTCTCTCCCCCATCACACTGGGAATGTGGGCAGTAAGCAAAACAGAACACTCCCCAAAACTGCTTTGGCTTAAATATTGCTTCTTATGAATGATTGCTTTCTTAGTCCATTATACAAAATGGAATGACTGTGTGCATCATATGAAGAAAAAAAAAAAGTGCACTTACCAAGTGAACATAAGGCACAAAGTATCCAAAAAGTGCAGCAGGAATCCCCAAAGCCCAGATTCGATAACTCATGACTTTGAAAACGGAGAAATTGAAAACCTTTTTTTCAGGAGGAAATCTGAACTTGCCCTTCTTTTCTCCTTCGTCTTTGGTGTTGGAAACAAGAGGTTTGTACGTAAAGCCAGCCAGAAACAGAATAAACATGAGGATGCACAGGACCCGTAATGTGTTGAACAGGCCAACAGAATCAATCAGAACTCTCAAGAGGAAGGGCAGAGACACAGTGAACAAGCTGCTTCCTGCAGTCACGATGCCATTTACTAGTCCAAGGCGTTTCTTGAAATAGTGCCCAAGAATGACCAAAGATGGCTGGTAAGCAAATGAGCAGCCACAGGCAAATAATATTCCATAGGTGAAGTACAGAGGTTCAATGGTGCTGTATTAAAAATAAAAAATAGGAAAAAAAATTGTAAAACAATGCATGCTCACATTCAGATACCACACAGAAGTGTTTTTCCAATTAATTGACATATTTTCAGAAATGAGTTAAGAGTTTGTATGTGGTTGCTCCAAAAGTAATGTGTCCTGTTTCGAATTTCCAAGGAAACTACAAGTGCAAAGAGACAACAACACTGTTTGATAGAGCAAATTCTCAGCTACAAAACACTCTTTGTCAACATAGTCACGACCATTAGCCAATTTATATGGATGAGCTGATTGAGACTCTTCATTTTGTGGTGTGACGGCTGTGCATGGCTGTCTGGAACGTGGCTTGTCCTTCACATTGCTCTCGCCATGGCTGAAATGCTTCACCCACAGCCTCACTGTGTTCAATCCACTGTTTGGTCTCCATCAACGTTCAGCAAACATTGATGAATGTCAACGGGTGCCATTTTTTCCATGTGGATGAATTCAGTGACACATCTTTGCTTCATACACACTTCTTCTATGTCGGACACCATATTGTCAGACTGCCCTTCTGCTGCCATCACACGACAAAAAAATGTAATGGAATATTGGTGGGAAGGTTCAATTTTACTGCCACAACCTGAACATCCACCTCTGATGTTGTGGATCAATATAATAAAATAGGAGGCATTACTTTCAGAGCAGCCCTCATACTACCAGTGTAAATGCTTTCTGTAGTGGTTTTCAGCACAGGATGCCATCTGCCAATATTCCTCTATACCAGAGTTTGACAATGCACTTTGCAAGTTTCCCATGCCATTTTAGAAATTCTTAGAACATAGAATTTGATTCACAGGTCTCACACCAGGAACTGAGAATTTACATGTTACTGTGCGAAAGAATGCATTTGCAATATTACTGTTTCTTTCTGCATTAAACTATCAATTTAAAAATTTGATTATATTTAAATTAGCCAAAAGAAATAAGTAATTACTTCGGTCAATGGAAAAATATCAAAGAAACAAAAATCAGAATTTATGAGAGAAAGAACATAATACAGTAAGGACACAGAACTTTTTCTTCCTTCTGTGGATCCAAACACTTTGCAGTATGACACATATTGAAAAATATTTTTCCTGCATTACAAATAATCTTACGTCTCAGCTTCCTAAGAGATAAAACTTGTATTACATATGGAACAAGCAGTAAATCATATTTACATTCATCTGCTGTATGAAATATTACTGTTAAAACACTTCTATATCTGAACTATACTCCCTCAATTAACTGATAATATCAACATAAGTCATTTGATAGTGTGAGTAACATAATGAAATACTAAGAATGCACATTAACTTGGAATGTATTTTAACAAGAATTCATCTCTCATCCCAAGCTCACGACTGCTCCTCTAAAACAAAATTCTAAAAAAGCTACATCTTTAAAGCCTGTAAAAATTTTTGTTTGCACCTTCTGTGGTGTTTTTCCAGTGGAAATCAAAGAAATACGGAAGGATGGCAGCATTTTCTTCAAAAGAAAGAAATACCTTTCCTTTTAATTTACAATAATGAAGTTCTTATATTTAGCAGTTACCACAAGACTGTGCTACATGGGGACGAAGAAGAACTTTTTCCAACACATATTCTTTTAGTTTTCACCTCAAATGTGATGGCAATCCTCTGGAAACATATCAGGCAGAAGGTGTTGTTTTGTTTGCTTTAAATAAAATGCATTAATCTAAATCTTTACACTTAGATTAACTAAAAACAAAAGTATTAAAAAAATGGAAACATGTTTACGTAACAAGACAGTTTCCTTTTCCCATGAATAATATTTATTCCCAGAATACATAAAAACACTAGCCTCAGCACCTAAATCAAGACTATTTTCCTATAAACTTGTGATACGTTTTCACATCAGGGGACATACGCCCAAAGTAGGGGTGTTAGTTCAAGATAGCACCATGCAGCACTGATATCCATCCATGCAGATAACAGACAGCTCACACATGTCTGGTTCAGAGCACAGGCACAGAAAACACTTTCACAAGCCTGTTGATACTGATAGAAAGTGTAGAAATAGAAATTGGTATTTCTACATAGAAAACTCTTCTGAATTCTGCTCTATGCTCTGCTAAGGATAGAAAAGGCAGACTGAGAGCTAGAAATAAATGCAGCTTATTTTCCTGCTATTTCTTACCCTATCTTCACTAACTGGTTTCTGCAGATGACTACAATCAGAGAGTAAGTTTCCTGTTTCCTCATCTTCTACTATGCATGCCACTCAAACTTCTTGGGATTTGTTCTGCAAAAATTATAGAAAATGAAGTATAACCTGGAGGGAAGACAAACACTCCACTAGTGTTGAAGTATATTCAATAGAGACTTCCTCATAGTAAGCCCTAAGGATCTATCATTACACCAATGTTTTTGCTATCTTAACATTTGGCAGGTAGACTGGTAAGAACAGAAGGAAACTTTGAATTTGACTGGAACACCAACACCTCCCTGGAGGTTACCACATCGTTTTGCTATTGATAAGCTTATACAAACTGGCTCCTCATAAATAGGATGTGCTGTTATGAGGTTACATTACATCTTACAAACAACTTTTGAATTTGAAAGCACCGCTTTTGATTATTCACGGTAGTCACAGCTAGAAAAACAGCAATAGAACAATGTCTTCAGCTATAAGATAAAGTAGCATTACTTATTCCTTCGTATTCAGTTGATGGGAGGATCAGCATAAAACTGATAGAAGTACTTTGAATGTAATTTAAAAAGATTGTTTTTACCTTACAAAAGAACTTGACAGGAGTCCAACAAAACCTAATGCAGCTCCAGTAACAGCAACTTTTCGGCAACCAAACAGGTCTGTGAATATGCTGACTATTGGAGAACAGAAGAAGACCATTCCCATAGACAGTGAGCTCACCCATGCTGCAGAACAGAAAAAGACAGCACATTTTAGAAGATCGCACGATTTAAGCTGTCAGCAACTACCTGTTCTAATTGAGCACCGCATCATGCCTATGGCTATGTGTTTAAATATCTTTACCTAACACAGTACAAATGAAAGCCCTGACCAATTCACATGATCAAGTAATTTAGATTTCATCAGCTCCAAGAATACAACTGACTTTAGTCATAAAAAAATAAATAAATAAAATATTTTAAAACACATTTACTCCACCAGGGACTAAGCTACAATTCACACTAATGACCAGGCCATTAACGACAACTTGTAGATACAGATAATTCCACATTCTTTCTGAAATTTATGAGCACATTTCACTTGATATGCTTTTATACTTTTTTTTCAACCTTAAACGGCTAAGTTTGCTGCAAAGTTTAACAAATGTTTTATTTAATTGCACAGATCTAGATCAAGCTGGAGCTTTATAAACATTGCTTAACCTATAGTTCTTTGTTTATCAGTGAGTCTTTAGATAATTAAGACTTAATTCAGGTAAGTATACTAAAGTTAAACACTTCTGTGGCTGAATAACAAACTACAGTATCTTCAAGTACGTTAAGTGTAAGACTGATTAATTTTAAATTAAAAATCAACTTTCTTTTTCACTTTGTGCAGGTATTCAAAAGGCATCATTTACCAGCTATCATGTAGTCATTCTTTCAAACACACATTAGTGATGTATCAACCAAGAGTTCTCCCAGGTCATAAAGGTAAGATATTTAGAGACATAAATAAGTCTGTTATATCTCTTCAGGAAAAAAAATTGGCCTACTGGCTAATGAAAAAAAGCTGCAGAGGCAAGACACACAAAAAAATATTTTAACTTGTTTCTGAATTGTATGGAAGATAAAAGAGCTCTTTCCATCTGGAATAGGTTTGAATTCCTGTAACTGGGATTTTACTTAGATTATCTTTGCTAGTGACAGTTAGATAAACAATGGTGATTTGGTGACAAAGGCAAATAACATTATCTGAAAAAATAAAACGCAACCAACAGACCTAAGGAGGAATATTTGGAAGCGGATACACCGATATCATGCTTTAGAAGTAGTTGCTGAAGTGCCTATGAGACATGGTCTGGGCACTACGAAGACCTCATGTGCTAGGCACTGAAATAAACAGAGTGAAACAAACAAGCAAACAAAAGTACTGTTTCTTCAAAAGCATTTAGAACGTAAACGAAAGACAAAAGCACAGCTGGTTAGAGACAAACAGGAATGAGAATATATGACATAGAACCTTCCTTTTAGGAAAAACAGTGATTTTGATGAACTGCGACCTGTTTTGAACAGTCTGTTGTTTATTGAGAATGTGAAAAACACCACGGAGTTTCAAGGAACGATCTGTAGAAGAACGAGGTACTTTTCATGGGTAGCTGCTGCATTTGCTGATTAGCCCAGACTCCAAAGCCCTGTCAACCCTGCACTCTGTGACATTAAGTTTCAGGGCTGTGCAAAGGAAGAGCAGGCAGCACTGAGTGAAACAAAGCCCCTGAGACACTGAAAGGAAAGGACACTGGAAGAGTTTAACTTGTATAAGGGCACGGACCACATTGCTTCATAGCCCCGTTAAGAGCGCAGCAGTTCTAATTTCCAATCAGCACAGGCTGTGTGATTCATGCAGCATTCTCCTTGGTTTAAGAAAATAGTTTCCAGGACTTTTACAGGCCTTCAAAGATAATAAAACTGGAATATAAAAGCCTTAGGTGAAAACATTCAGCTCCAATGACATTCAGTTAACTTGCTGACTTTGATTTTCGTGTGTCCTAATGAAAGAAATATGCCTCTTATCACTTGTTTCTTTTCTTATTACAGCAATGACAAGCTAAGCCTAAAATAGGAGAAAGGTTCCACAGATTTCCCACATAACGTGGGGTCAAAAAGGAAGGGAACAGCCTTATCTGAGGCATTTCACAAACAGTGCTGTGACAGAAGTCCAGAAGCGGCAGTCCATGCTCTACCACTTCCCTACCTAAAGCAAACTGGAGCACTTTAACTTACAGTTCCTGTGAGATTCTTGGATCCCACAGAAAAGGAACTTGCACAGATTCTTTTGGCATGCCTGGTATAAACACCCTTATTATGACTTAACAAAAAGAATGGTCTTTAAGTTAACTTCACACGTGTGCATAATTCAAGGAAACTTGTCTTTATCCTTTGTGAAGAAGCTGAGCACACACACAAAAAAGAAAGCAGAACAGCACATTTGAACCTGATTTCCTGAAGGCAAGTATGCCTTGCTGCAGTAACGTGATCCTATGAAGAAGTTGATGGATATAAAATACATAAAATATAATCTGAGTGATTTTCAATTCTTTGTTCTAAAAAGCTTTTCTTATATTTCTTTCACTTCTTCCTCTCTGTATGCAAAAGGTAAAATTAATTGCATTTGGCATTTTAAAATGCAAATTATAACGACTGTCCCAAAGAACTCATATGAAAAATCCAAATGCAGCTTGCCAGGATTGCACAAGTCCTCTAGAGCACCTATTACACCTTGATTAAAACACTTTTCTTCCAGGCTACTGGCTGCCTTCCTACTCACATGCTGGCTATATTCCAGAGCTGTTATTTCAGACACTAATGTAACAACTAACCTCTGTATTTGTGTTGATACTCATACACAAAACATTTTGACTGCCATAGAAAAAGAGCTATTCCTACTGAAAGCAATTAAACTTTCCTTGGGCACTGGAGCTTCAGGACTTACTTCTCAAAACACATCATTGCAAAACAGCCAGTTTCTGAGCTTCTCTAGAAGTTACTCCTCAAATTAAAAATATCAGACCAGAGAGTCTGTGGTAGCACCCATACTGAAGAGTTCCTGAGCCACTGAAACACAGTATACTATTCAAAAAAAAAAAAAAAAAAAAGCAACATTTACTGTAACTAAAATCATGCTGAAATAAGAATCTCCGCTATGTCCTTTTCTTATCAGTTCACTACAAATGGAAATAATGCAGCTGTAAGCAGAGAATGTTTGTACACTGTTTCTCTGTCCAAGAGTCTGCAGCTATAAAACCACAGCACACACTCCACAAATATGCTGCTGTTTTATTGCTTTAAAAAATGATTATGATTTAAATAGCACGACTTTCGTCTTCAGCAATAAATGTAAGTAGCCATTATCTGTCAGCAAAAATTGTCCCCATTGTCACAGCTGGATTGCATAATATACATTTATACCCCAAGCTGTCAAATGCTTTAGTTCATTCTGCAGACAGAAACACTAGGACTTACGAGACAATGGAAAAGAAAGCATTAATAGCATTTCACACTGAAATGCTTCTACTGCACACAAATTTAAAGGCTACCCCTCTATAGCATTCCTGTTTACTTCTTTTTTCTTTTTTTTTCTTCTGTGCATTACACTGAAAGTTATCAGTTTTATCCTCACCAAAGCCTTTCAAGTGGTTGGCTTAATACAGCACTAACACCCTTCATTCTCTGATGAACTTAAAGATTATTATTTTTTTAAAAGTATCCTCCCCTGGGAATTTTTGAGGCAGGAACAAAAAGCCATTGTTTGGAAGACAGAAGGCAAACCAAGAGAAGAATATTTAAGTCGAGGAGTCAATATCAACTCCAAAAATATTTTGTCTGCCCACATTAAAAATCAGATGTGTTTGTGTAGCTCACGTAGCAAATCAAGATAGAAGTAGAAGTTGGGCTCACTGAATAGCTTGCAGAACAATGTGTTTGGAATTGCCCATGCTAAGACAAAGCAGAGATCTTTATAAACAAGAGCAACTTGTCTACACCAAATGTCACAGCAGATTCTCTTAACATAATTCTATAGCTAGGCTGGTGAAATTTGCAGGACAGATGGGCCAGCCATTGCCTACATCTCTGCTCACTATCAGACCTCCTTCCTAAAAATCCATTCTCTCACCCCATTGTGCAACCAGTACAACGCTTCAGGCTGTACTGCACTAGTGCTTGTTATGCCTAGAGTGATGCTGGATAATAAAGTGCTGTGTTTTAACTCATGAAGAACAGAAAGTGCAGAATCAGGGACAACCTGTTTTAGAGTTAGCCTCTATGTTTATGAAATGAAAACAATACTTCTCTCATACTAACAAAAATACTTGAAATTCTTATTGTTTCAAGTAATCTAGAGAGCAGATTTCTAAGACAAAATACTTTGAAGTGTTCAAATGAAATAAGCAATATGGGACAAGTTATGTGGACAGCAGATGTTTAATAGTTTTCATTGTCACCGAAAATGCTTATGTGGAAAAGTCTACTATAATAAAATTACAATACAGAGTTAATATAACTGCTTAAATAATGGCACTTAGTAATATCTGAATGCGTGACTTTAACATTATCTAGGAGTTCTCCTTTTGTACAGCAAAAAACACTGCAAGAAAAGAGAAGGACAACATTTACTAGATAAAAACTTCATGCTTTCATTTGGTTGTGACTTATGCAAGAACAGTGCAGAATGTAGGTACTCTCCCAGCCTCAAACCAGTAACAGCTGTGGAGATTTCCTGCATCATAATTTTTGTTTTAAAAGAAGTTAACCTCTATCTTTTTCAGTATATCCTGGTCACTTTCATTTCTTTCCCTCTCAGAACAATTCCATATTCTCAGCACCCACAACACCTTACAGCAAACTGCTCTGTAATTCCACTCTGGGCTGTGTGTATGATCTCCAGTTCTACTGTCCAGTCACCTACAAAGGCATACCATTCAGCAAAGCGTACAAATGGCTTCCACAAGATTGTTTTTTACATTAGAAAGGAAATTTGGGAAAGCCGGATGCCTGTTCAAAGTAATTTCTGGAGATGATTAGCTCTCCAGCTCTTATTCATGATTCCTTGCCTGTATCATCACATTTACACAGCATTTCTTTTAAGAACAAAAGAACTGCAGTACTGTGTAGATCAGCATCCTGTTCTGGCCATCACAAAACACTGAGCCAAAGAACACCTGAAAGAGGGCTAGCATTCTGCAGGACCCTGCCTATGTACTCCCAACATTCAGAAATAAGCAGCTTAGAAACCTCCAATGCAGAATGTTTCATCTTCAAGACCAAGAAATTCTATCAATACTACTTTGGCTTCACTGCATTTGGCTGTTATCAGCTACAGAACACACTCAAGCACCAGTGCCCATAGATGATGATAATTAAGAAAAAAATCCCCTTTGTTTTTGATACCACTCAGCTTCCTCTGCTATAAGAAACATGAACTGATCATCCCTGCATAATTTCTTCTTGCAACCCTTTACTAGAGATATTCACAAGTCTCTTTTCTGAATGAAGCACTTTTATGGACTTTTGTCTTTGCACAGAAGCTCCGTACCTTTCCCATTCCCCATCCCTCTTCACACTGAGGCTTCTAATTGTATTATTTTTTCTGAGATAAGAGTAGTTAGAACATCATACAGTATTTAATACGGAGCAAACAACACATTTCTGCCCTAACTGGTTTAATTCTCTATCTCCTCATTATCCTTACTTTAGGAAAAAAACAAAACAATGCTGTATCACTATATCAAGTGCCACTGAGTAAAAGTGCTTACAAAACTATATGTGATTCAAAGAAGAAAAAAAAAAAAAGGAAAAAATCCCACAATAAACCTTACTCCCCCACTAGTGATTAACAACTGAGACAGAGCCCACTAGGGTTTTCAGCATGCATTTGGAATATATTTCCTCCAGTAAGCAGCGATTTGCACATACGTACACAGAATTTAATCAGCAGTAACACAACAACTCAGCAAGTCTAAGAGGGCTACCAACATGCTCATACACAATGATAAGCCACAGCTTCGGACCTGTTGTTCAGCCTGCAGATGAGAAGACCAGCAGCTCAAAAGAAACCTAATTACTGGCTTCAGATATCCAACAGATGATCATTACAGAATCAATGGTGAAAAGCAATTGGACAACGAACAACTGAGACAAACAATAATAAACATCACTCAAATTATATGTTACAAAGTGGTTTTTTCCTCAGTGAAGGAAGTAAAAGGAAGACTGAAATTTTTACTCTTGGATATGTTGAAAATCAGGCTGGACAAGGTCCTGTGAATAATCTTATCTTTACTTAGAAGTTCAACATACTTTTGAAATGTGCAGTTTTGAGTGTGTGTGGGGGGAGGGAGTGCTAGAACACATAGCTAGTCTCTTCCAACTCAAGTTATTCCACGATGCTGAAACTCCCAGAGGAACATTCTAACAGTTTTAGACCATTGCTTATTGGGAAAATAGATGGTGAAGCCCATATTGACAAGTGCCAATAGCTTTCTTCAGAAAAAAAAATATAACTTAGGTTAGAAATTCTAGCCCAACCATCAATCCCTCCTTTGTGGAACTTAAGAACATGTAAAGACTCCTTCAGGTAAGAAAAAAAAAAAAACTGGACTAAGCTGTAAGATGCTGTACACACACACCCTTCCAAAAAAATTGGAAGGAGTTGACAGTGTCCTGGATTTTTAAGCAAAAGAGATCTTTATATGTAGATCTCATCAGACCTATTAACAGTATAGATGTTTAGAACTACAGATCTCCCCCCATACTGACGCAGTTTTTCCATTGGAACTCTTTTCTTCCTATTAGCAGAGGCAGAGTGCTACCTTTCACCTAAGACACTCCAGATACATCCTCTTTCATGCATTTTCTACTCCCTTTTTCTTCCAAGGAAAAAAAAAATAGTAATTTATTTCTAAAACAGATGGGAATTAATAGTTCAACAGAATCATTAGAATCAGCAAGTGCCACAACAGCCTCCCATGTCCAGAGCCCCTGTAGGTCAGCTTCCTAGAAGTTGCCAGCCCTATTTTTATCCAACCTGTCACTAGCCAAAGACATCAGATGACCTGTGCTGCATTCCTTGCTCACACACGCCTGTGAAAATTGTTTCTGAGACTGCACACTAACTTCTCATGAATTCTGAGGAACTTCACTAGATTATCCTCATGTGCCTATGATAAGGGGCACAGAGGGGAGAACAGAATTTCCAGATAGTTACCCCATTATTGAGCAATCTGTAGATCACAGAACTGTATGTGAGTAGAAAAAGGAGAGTATTTTGAAATGTGTGCAGTATTGTGACATAGACATATGACATCTAGAATTCATCCCGTCATAAAGTGTACTGCTTGTTCTACTCAAAAATATTGCCGATCCCTTTAGTGCAAGTATGCATTTAAGGCCTAAAAATAAACTTATGACATAATGCTGCCACAGGAAGTGTCCTAACTTG